ACGATCAGTTTTGCCTTTTGCTCAGTATATATTGCCCTTACCCCGTTGAAGAAATCGTTACCTACATCCATATATTCTAGATTTCTCAACATAAAGTTCCATATCACATTATCAAACGCCTTTTCGGCGTCAATAAACATCATTGTGACTTGCTTATCAATCCTAACAGACAAAAATTCTAACATATCAATAATATGTCTTGTATTATCCCTCATCTGCCGACCTGGCAGGAATCCTGCCTGGTCCGTATGAATAATATCTACTAACACATTTTTTAACCTTTTTGCCAGGATTCCTGCGAATATCTTATAATCCGTGTTCAGCAGTGAGATTGGTCTATAGTTTTTAACCTGGGTTAAATCCGCGTCTTGTTTGGGGAGGAACGTGATGTATGCTTCCTTCCAGGTCTCTGGTATTTCTCCTTCCTTTAAGATGATGTTCATAGTCTTTTTCAAAGGTCCCACCAAAATAGATTTCATTTCTTTGTAATATCCTGCAGTAAATCCATCAGGGCCTGGTGCTTTGCCCCTCTTTAAGTCTCTAATTACCTCCTCTATTTCCTCATTTTCAATTGGGGTATTCAGTCTTTGTTTCCCTTCTACTGGAATTTTTTGTCCCCCTTTTTCCTTTAAGAATCTTTCTATCTTCCTTGGGGCAACTCTCTCTTGATCTTTATACAAATTTCTATAATAATTGAGAAACTCATTCCTTATTCCTCTGGGATCAGTTCTTTCTTCCCCGTCTGTTATTATTTTATTGATTGTCCCTTGCTCTTTCCTTTTTTTAATTTGCCAGGCAAGCCATTTCCCTGGTTTGTTCGCAAATTCAAAGTTTCTTTGTCTAAATCTTTTAATGTTCCACTCTACCTCTCTGTTTAATATTGTAGCAAACTGGGTTTGCAGTATTTTTATTTTTTCTTTTGTCTTTGGGCAGTTAGGCTTCTGGACTAATTTTTGTTCATTTGCCATTATCTGTCTGAGGATCTCTTCTTTATTTTTCTCTCTATTTCTATTTTTAATTGCATTCTGTTGTATAAAGTACCCTCTTATTACTGCCTTACTTGCATCCCAAATTACGCTCTCTTTTGTTCCTTTATCACAGTTATCCTTAAAGTACTCTGTCAGTTTTTCCTTTGCCGTTTCCACCACTTTCTGATCATCTAACAAATAATCCTTTAATCTCCATCTAAAGGGTCTCTTCTCTAAGCTTTCTAGTTTTATCTCTAATGGATTGTGGTCTGATATTACTTTCGGTCTTATTTCTATAAGTTTAACTCTTGGACATAGATCTTTTGAGATCCAAATCTGGTCTATTCGTGAGAGTGATTGGTTAGGTTCTGAGTAGAAAGTGAATTGTTTCTCAAGTGGGTGTCTGAGGCGCCAGATGTCCACTAAACTGCAGTTTTCCGCTAAGGCGAAAAAAGATTTTGGTAATTTCCCCTCTCTGTTTGTTCCGTCTCTAAGTCTATCCATATCAGGCGAGACAACTGCATTCATATCCCCCATTAAGATTATTTTTTGATCGACATGCTCCATTAGTTTTTCTTCTAATCCTTTAAAAAATTCATTTTTCCTACCGTTCGGGGCATAGATCCCTACTACCAACATCTTTTCTCCTTGCCAGTTGATATTAACCCCTATCATCCTCCCTTCCTCATCTTTAAACATTGTTTTAGCTTCTATTTTACTACTAATATACAGTACCACACCTCTTTTCTTTACCCTATCCAGGGTTTCAAACTCATTTCCTAGCCGTTTATTAATCAACACCTTTCTATGCTTTCTGGCCACATGCGTCTCCTGAAGACAGATAATGTCCAAATTTTTCCTTTTCAAACATTGTTCAATTTTATTTCTCTTTTTTTTTGTCGTTCATCCCATTTATGTTCCAATTCCAAATTTTTAATCCCATAGTGCTTAGCTTTTCCTTTCGTTACTCTTTAGAATCTTCCTATCAGTTATATATTCTCAGAATCTTCCACTTCCTCTTCTTCCTCCTCTCCCGACCCACCCCCCTCCTCCTCTCCCTCCTCTAGCACTCTTGGTTCTCCTGATGGGGCCCTCTCTCCTCTCCCTAATTCTTGCTCCTCCGTTTTTAGCTCCTTGTATTTCCTAAGGAATTTCCCAGTTTCTTCTTGGTTTATAAGCTTATGTCTTTTACCTCTGTATGTAAATGATATCCCTTCCGGGAATTCCCACCTAAACTCAATCTTATTTTTCCTCAATGTCTGCACCAGGGGTTTATAAGAGTCTCTCTTTTTAAGTAATCTAATTGGGATATCTTTAAACAAAATTATATAATTCCCATCTATATTCAATCTCTTTTCTCTGTTCCTTTGAAGAATCCTGTCCCTCATTTCTTTATTTTTGAAAGTAATCAAACAATCACCTGTGAATCTCTTTGCTTTTGTTGCATTGACCCGCATTCTAAATGCGTTCAGTACACTATTGGCCATTTCTTCCCCTGATATACCCATCCATTCCGCTAGCTCCTTCGTCAATCTTTCTTTAACATTTTCATTCTGTGTCTCTGAGACCGCTCTCAGCCTCAGGTTCACCCCCCTCTGCCTTAGTTCATTCATCGCTATAATATCTTTTATCTCTTCCTGTGTCCTACTTAACTCCATTACATCTGATTTGATCTTTTCCTTATCCCTCTTAATATCTCTTATCTCCCCCTTTGTCCTTTTTAATCCTTCCTCTGTGAGCTGCGTCCTCCTAGATATTTCTTTTACTTGGCCCTTTAGTTCATTCACAGTTTCCTCCATTTTTTTATCTAATATCCCAATTCTTTTGTCCACCAATTCTAACTTATACTCTACGTTAGCTTGGCTTTGTTTAATTTCTGCAAACATTTTCAGAATGTCCGACTTAAAATCCACCTCCTGTTTCGAGCCCCTCCTCTCTCCTGGGGTTCCCCCATTCGTTCCTTTCTTCCCTGTATGAGACATCTTACCCCTTTATACCTTTATACCCCCCCCTCTCTCCCACCCTCTCTTAGTACCTCCCACTGCTTTTTTTTTATTTTCACTTTTCACTTTCCTTCCTTGCTGTAATTTGCATTTACTATCTCTATGTACTCCCCACAAAAAAAAAAAAAAAACACTAATCCATAATCAGTAAAACCATATACAAAAATCAGGGGCAGAACAGTTGATCCGTAATAGTACGTCGTGTGTCTTCACTATCTCAATCGTAATCTCACTTATCGACCAGTACTTGGTTCCTGTTGTGAGGATATTTCCTTTAAGTATGTGATGGTCCCAGAAACACACGCTTCTTCTCCTCTCCCGACCCAACTAGTCCTCTATTAGTTAGTCCAAGAGCTAGGAAGGCTTCAAAAAGCTCAATAGCAAGGAGGCATTTAAACCTAAAGAAATGAGTGCTGGGTGGTCAGGTAGGGGGGAGGGAGAGAGGGAGGGAGAATGAGTGGGGGGGGGGATTAGTCACAACTCACACCATCTCCTCCACCTTATTTTCAGAAGCTCATCAAGTCAGCACACGATCTCGCTGGTTCTTAAAGTAACCTTAGTCTCTTAAAAAGTTTAGCATTTTCTAACCTCAAACCTCCGTCTTCAGATTTAACAGAGGGAATGTAGCTCTACCCAAACAGTTCCCGATGCACGCTATCAAATATCAAAGAACACTGTCCTCTTTTTTCCTCTTCCCACCAACTTCTCTCTCAGGTTCCAAATGGCGTCGGGTACTTCTCTTCCAAGATTTCCACTCACATATATAGTGTTAAGGCACAAAAGAAGAGAGCGTCCTTTCTCCTACTTTAGCCTCCTGTTCATCAAGGACGCCAGCCCTCTCTTTTCCTGGACCCTTTCCGAGCTCCTCCACTCCTCCACGGTTGTAATTCTTCCTTTGTGTTTTAACGTTTGTTTCTCCGGAGGGGGAGAGAGGGCTTAAAATGGAACCACGTTACCGCCCGGGCAGATTACTCACTCTCTTTAGCACTGGTTTCTCGCCGTGTTTAAATTGACTTCGGCTATCGACTGAACTCCTTTTTCCTCTCTCTGTTCCCCAAGACTTCCTTGTTGCTGCTCTTAGCTACAAAGTTGCAGGTATCGGGTTTCTTTTTCTTTGAGAGCAAGCCGCTCTCCCTGCAAGCGCAGGGCTTCGCTATTTGAGGGCTAGAAAATGGCTCCTCTGGACCCGCTGGATCTCTCCGCTACACTCTTCGCCTTTCTCGGGTACCTGGTAGTCGGTTTGATCCTTCTTTCGGTCGTGCCGAGGACTAGACTCCTTGAACACCCTTCAAAGGAGTTTTGGGGGTCTCCGCGCCCTGGAGACTCCCCTATCCCTCAAAATAGCTCGGGTTCTCACCTCACGGTGTAAAACCCTGCTTGCACTGAGATCGCGGCTGACTGGAAGCCCCTCCTCGGAGATCATCAGATCTTAGCAGAGTCTTCTTCTTGTAGCCGATTAAGATTGACTTCCATGAACACGGTTTTAACAGTGAGTCCATAAGTGGCTGTGGAGGCCAATTCTGGATCCACACATCCTTTCACAGTGGGGACATTGGTTTCCAGGCGGGAGTTGACCACGGTGTGGATTTCCCAAGCGTGCCTTCCTCTTAGCACGTTTCTCCCTTGCGTCCTGAGTTTGAGTGTCTTCAAAGCCCATGAGACCTTTGGGAAAGGCTGTTCTCCATCTGGAGCGCTCGCAGGCAAATGTTTCCCAATTGTTGGTGTTTATACTACATTTTTAAAGATTTGCCTTGAGAGAGTCTTTAAACCTTTTTCATTGACCCACCGGCATTACGCTTTCCATTTTTAAGTTGGGAATAGAGTAGTTGCTTTGGAAGACGATCATCAGGCATCCGCACAACATGACCAGTCCAACAAAGTTGATGTTGAAGAATCATCGCTTTGACACTGGTGATCTTTGCTTCTTCCAGTACACTGGCATTAGTTTGCTAAGTCAGCAAAGCACTGTTTTTTCTCCCTACAAACCAGCCAGAGTCTCATTCCTGCTTCCATTCTCTTTGATTTGCAGCATCCATGTCTACCAGTCCTCGGACAACATCCGAAACAGGAAGAATAGCATGAAGATGCAACATTCGGCCTCTGTGACGTGCATTTTGTAAGTGGAGCTTCAGCTGAAATGCAGAGTGTATGTGAGCACAGAATCCAGCTTCTTAAGAAACCCAGCTTTTGTTTTAAAGCACCTTTTTAGACCACAGGGCTGAAAATTTGTGTTTGCTTAACGGTTTGCTTAAATTGCAAAATCCAAAAGTGGCTGAATACAATTTTCAGTAGTGAGTCAATGGGGGTTTCAGGGTCATAGAATCATAGAATCATAGAGTTGGAAGAGACCACAAGGGCCATCGAGTCCAACCCCCTGCCAAGCAGGAAACACCATCAGAGCACTCCTGACATATGGTTGTCAAGCCTCTGCTTAAAGACCTCCAAAGACAGAGACTCCACCACACTCCTTGGCAGCAAATTCCACTGTCGAACAGCTCTTACTGTCAGGAAGTTCTTCCTAATGTTTAGGTGGAACATTAGGGTCCTTGCTGCACCCTCGACTAGGAAAAACCAGAACAAATTATTTTTAAAAAGCAGGAAATGAGGATGTCCGTATTTAGTCGTGTGAGCCCTCACCTTCAAGATGAAGGGGTACAGCCCAGACGCAGGTCTTGCTAAGGTCTTGGCCTTCCTGTTCACCGTCATGTGACTTTGCTGCTGAGTTAATCGTACCAAGAAGTACATATTGTACTGTATTGGCCTGAATATAAGCCTCACTTTTTCCCCAAATTCCGACTGTGAAAAGTTAAAGCGCTGCTTAAATTTGTGACCTTACAAAAATTGGCTTTTACGATATTGCTGCTAAAACAGACATATGCTAAGACTGAACGGGTGTGACTGCCTGCAGGATTTTAAGGGAGCGACTTATATTCGGGTATTGTCTTTTTCTTTTCTTTTCCCCCTTTGAATTTTAAAGGTGAGGCTTATATTCAGGTGCGGCTTATATCTGGGCCAATACGGTATTTACTTCTGCAAAACTAAGCAGTTGCTAAAGTTAAAGCGATGGAGATGAGGAAGCATCTCAACCCAGGGCAATCTCGCCCTCCTCCCTCTAGCATCAAACGGAGATGGGTGGAAAACATTTGCGATGGCATTTGCTCCCGGATCTCAGAATGACCAAGCTCTGAATCAGTTAGTTCACATGGGAAATTAATGCTTTTAAGCAAAAAGGTGTCCCCGTCCCCCCAATATTAATCGCCATTCATGATTAAATAAGGAGTTGCTGTATCAGTATGGACATGGGTGACCCTGAGTTTTGCTTAGCTCACAGAGGACCTTAAGGTCCTTGAATAACCATAGTTTTGAGGTCCCGGGCCCTAAGGAAGCCAGACTATCCTCCACCAGGGCCAGGGCCTTCTCAGTGATGGCTCCGACCTGGTGGAACGCTCTGTCCCAGGATACCAGAGCCCTGCAGGATTTAACCTCCTTCTGTCGGGCCTGTAAGACAGAGCTATTCCGCCTGGCCTTTAATTTGAATTCAGCCTGATCTTTTATTTCCCTTCTCTTCCCTCCCCCTCCCCTTTTATGAAGATCACCCGCTCTGAGACCCCACAGCTAATTCTCCCCTGGGCTCCTCGCTGGCCCAAGTAGGACCAATTCAGCCAGCTAGCCCTGGGGATTATCTAATGCTTATTAGATGGATTTCCCCCAAATTGATTTCTGAAGTTTGAATTTTATTGCTATTCATGTTTTTATACTGTATCTTATGCTGCTTTTACAATTAAGTGTTTTAAATTTGTTGTTAGCTGCCCTGAGCCCGGTTTTTGAACCGGGAAGGGCGGGGTATAAATAAAAATATTATTATTATTATTATTATGCCACTTATTTGATTTCCAGCTGATGTTGTAAAGCCCATTGCTTTTCCCCCACAGGTATCTAGATAACCAGGTGTTTGTATCGCTGGCGAACGGAGAGCTCGTTGCCTACCAGAGAGAAGCCGGTGAGTTATTTGACCGTAAAGATGCTTTCAGTAAGGCTCTAATGCTGGAAACATGGGCGGCTGTAGCAAAACACCTACCGTATTTTTCGCTCCATAAGACGCACTTTTCCCCTCCTAAATAGTAAGGGGAAATGTGTGTGCGTCTTATGGAGCGAATGCAGGCTGTGCGGCTATCCCAGAAGCCAGAACAGCGAGGGGGATCGCTGCGCAGTGCTCCCTCTTGCTGTCCTAGCTTCTGGCTTAGCCCCTCTGTCCCTTCCCCCACCTCATGGAGAAGCCCCCCAAGAGCCGCGCTCCCTTTCATGAGCCGCGTGGAGCATGTGTGCGGCTCTTGGGGGCTTTTCCCCAAGGAGGGAGAAGGGCAGCCCGTGACGGCTCGTGAAAGGGAGCGCTGAGCCATAGCTGTCAACTTACAGGTGAGGGACCAGCAGCCTCGAAAATAAGGGATCAGCAGCCAAAATAAGGGATCAACAATTACTTTGATAAAATACATATTTTGTTGCATGCAAATGGCTTTAGATACCTATTGGGTCCATAAATCACCATATAGCATATATTCAACACACAAAAAACAGCAACAATTTGTTGTTGACAAAGGACAGCTGGACATAGAAAGGGCCTCATTACCTTCAGTAGCTTATTTAAGGGACATCATCGATAAGGGACAGCAGCGGGACATGGCGCTGGGATAAGGGACTGTCCCGCCAAATAAGGGACGCTTGACAGCTATGCGCTGAGCAGAGCCTTGGATGTATACAGGTTCTGCTCAGCGCTCCCTTTAAATAATATTTTGTTCTTGCATTCCCCCTCTAAAAACTAGGTGCGTCTTATGGTCAGGTGCGTCTTATGGGGCGGAAAATACGGTACCTGGCCACATGGCTGCATAGGAGGAGCACTCAGTTGCTGTGACCCTCTGGGCCTAGAAGTCACAGGCTTAGAGAGCAGGCAGTGACAAAAAGTTTAAAAACCTGTGTGCGAATGCTCGCTGGACCTTATAGCAGTGCTTGGTGGGAGTAGCCCATCCCCGGACACACTGATGCTGTCTCATAGCAACAGGGAGCATTCCTTAGCACCAGGAAAAATACACAAGGTGGTCACTTGCTCCCATTTCACAGAAATCGCCTGGAAGGTACATGCACATTTTGAACTGTAGCTTTATTTCAAGGAGGGCTGTTAGAGACTTTAAAAAGAAAAAGTGAAAGCTTGGAGTCTGGGGCACCTGTAGAAGCTTCCAAGGGCACCCTGGCGCCCACGGGCACTGGGTTGCCAAACCCTGCTTTAGAATGAGCCGGTAGACCGGACTGGGTGGGATAATCACATTTTGGAGCGCCCCTCTGCGACACAAACTTTCAGATGGAAAACCAACGTAGCAGGTGAAGAGGCGGAATGGCATCTTTCTCCCTGGTGCGCTAGTTTTCTGTTGCGGGGACTTTTCACGTGGATGCGAACTCAGAGCTGGAAGCCACCAGCCAGAGTCCAAGGTGGTGCCGCCCTTTCTGCCCTTTCAGCGTTCTATGACACTCCATTCTCTTTTAAAAAAAAAAGTTTGTTTTTACAAGCGTTATAACAATACCAAGCAAATATACACATTAAGAGATTTCTTTGACGCTCTAGACTTCCCGCCATGGGTCCTATTGTCATTGTTTTCAGCTGCATATTATTTCATCATCCATATTTTAAGTCTACCCATATTATCCAACATATTTGTTACATTACAAGGGTTGTTAAAATCCTGCTAATGTTTTCATTTGCCTACAGTGGTCTCTTAAATAAATTATAAATATTTCCCATTCTTCCTTGGAACTTTTGTCTTCATGGTTTCATGAGCCTTCTGGTCAGTTTTGCACAGTTTGGCGTAGTCCAACAGCTTAATTTGCCCTTCTCTGGTAGGGACTTTATCTTCTTTCCATCTCTGAGCTAATAGCATCCCTTGCATACATGAAAAGTCTTTTCTGCTCCTTTGGAATCTCCGTAGCTTCCACCCTCACCTTATTTTCCGGCATGTTTAAATTCTGTGAAGGAGAAGAGAAACCTCTGACATCTTATTTCCCCTTCTCCCTTCTCTCTCTTTTCCAGGACGCTTTTGGGACTCTCAGAACTCCAAATCCCTCTCTCTGGGCTCTCCCGGCAGCCCTGTGACCAAAATGGTGGCCGTGGGCGGCAAACTTTGGTGCGGATGCCAGAACCGTGTCGTCGTCCTTAGCACATCTTCGTTGCAGCAGGAGGTACGGAGGAAACAAGGGAGTTGTTAGTTTTTTTCAATCCTATAAGGGAGCGACAAAAGAATGCAACAAGCCTTAACATGGTGTTGCTCCAAACTGGGCTCCTCCTCCCACATTCCTTACAGCAATGACCCCCCTTACGGTGGCTGTTTGTAGACAAAAGTCTCTGCTTCCATTGTTCCCGCACTCTTAATTTACACCAAGTTCTGGGAGAAGGGGGTTCAGAAATACTCTCCAGTGACAACATGTCAGCTGGCTGCCTTGTCGCGATTCCCACCCACTCGCTTTCTTCTAACACGTCCCAACTCCTTTGTTTGTCTGTCTCTGCGCTGTGACCTCAATAATAAATAATAATAATAATTTTTTATTTGTATCCCGCCCTCCCCGGCCAAAGCCGGGCTCAGAGCAGCTAACAACAAGTAAAAATAGCACAGTGTACATAAAAACACACAGTCAATTAATTAAAATATATTTTAAAATCAATTCAGAATCAAATTAATGACAACCATTGGGTTAGAGTTCTATGAGGATTACAGAAGGAGGGGGTCAGACTGTGCCTTGGCCAAAGGCCTGGTGGAACAGCTCCGTCTTGCAGGCCTCCGGAAAGATGTCAAGTCCCGCAGGGCCCTAGTCTCTTGTGACAGAGCATTACACCAGATCGGGGCCACGGCCGAAAAAGCCCTGGCTCTGGTTGAGGCCAGCCTAACCTCCCTGTGGCCCGGGATCTCCAAGATGTTTTTATTTGAAGACCGTAAGGTCCTCCGTGGGACATACCAGGAGAGGTGGTCCCGTAGGTACGAGGATCCTAGGCTGTATAGGTTTTTTAAAGGTTAAAACCAGCACCTTAAACCTGACCCTGGACTCCACCGGGAGCCAATAATAATAATAATAATAATAATAATAATAATAATAATAATAATAATAATAATAATTTATTATTTATACCCCGCCCATCTGGCTGGGCCTCCCCAGCCACTCTGGGCGGCTTCCATAGAAACCAAAAATACACTAAAATATCACACGTTAAAAACTTCCCTGAACAGTGCTGCCTTAAGATGTCTTCTGAATGTCAGGTAGTTGTTTATCGCTTTGACATCTCGTGGGAGGGCGTTCCACAGGGCGGGCGCCACTACCGAGAAGTCCCTCTGCCTGGTTCCCTGTAGCTTTGCTTCTCGCAATGAGGGAACCGCCAGAAGGCCCTTGGTGCTGGACCTCAGTGTCCGGGCAGAATGATGGGGGTGGAGACGCTCCTTCAGGTATACTGGACCAAGGCCGTTTAGGGCTTTAAAGGTCAGCACCAACACTAGCCTAGTGCAATTGGTAAAGCACTGGATGAATGTGAACCCGCGGTAAGGACCCCATGAGGAGTCTTGTCACAGCATTCTGCACCCGCTGGAGTTTCTGGGTCATTCTCAAGGGCAGCCCCACGTAGAGCGAGTTACAATAATCCAGTCTGGAGGTGACCGTCGCGTGGATCACAGTGGCTAGGTCAGGGTGAGAGAGGTAAGGAGGCAACTGCTTAGCTTGGCGAAGATGAAAAAATGCCGCCTCTGTTATAGCTGCAACCTGTGCCTCCATAGAAATAGAAAGGGAAGTGTCGAAGATTACACCCAAACTCTTAACGGACGGTGCTGGCACTAATTGCGCCCCCGCGAGAGATGGGCGTTGGCCCCCCAATCCCATATCGTCCCTACCCAGTCAAAGGACCTCTGTCTTCAAAGGATTTAACTTCAACCGGCTCCCACGTAACCATCCAGCCACAGCTTCCAAACATCTGATCAGTGTGTCTGGGGCCGAGTCAGGATGGCCATCCATCAACAGATAGAGTTGGGTGTCACCAGCATACTGATGGCAGCCCAACCCAAAACTCTGGGCGAGGGGGCGCATAAAGATGTTGAAAAGCATCGGGGAGAGTATCGCACCCTGTGGCACTCCACACACCGAGTGGCGTGGCGACAGTTCCCCCCCCCCCAAGCGCCACCAGAGAGAAACGAGCGCAGCCATTGAAGGACTGTGCCCTGGATCCCCACGTCGGCGAGGCGGTGGTCCAGAAGTTCGTGATCGACCATGTCGAAGGCTGCTGACAGATCTAAAAGAATCAGCAGCCCTGACCTGCCTCGATCCAGCTGCCTATGGAGATCATCTGTTAGGGTGACCAGAGCTGTCCCGGTCCCATGACCAGAGCTCAAGCCAGAGTGAAACAGCAAACATGGACCACTTTGAGATAAGCAGCTCAATGAGCGTGGTTCAAGGGGGACCCCATTCCCTGGACCACAACTCCCCGCTAGCTGCCGCCATCTGAGGTCAGGTTTATGCACTGGGGGGAAACCCTGGGAGAGGTGGTCCCCCGTTCAGAGCGTCGGGGATTCCCTCTGTTCCACATGGCTTCAGCCGGACTTCTTCTCTTCCCCAGCACTCCTTTCACGTCGGGCAGGACAGCAACCGCAGCCTCACCTGCATGGTGAGCTCCTCAGCGGGGGTCTGGGTCACCCTTCAGGGCAGCGCCCAGGTGAGGCTCTACCACCCTTCCAGCTACGACCAGCTGGCCGAAGTGGACGTCACGCCTCCGGTCCACAAGATGTTGGCAGGTGAGAGACCCAGCGCTTTGGAAAGTCCTGGTGTCACGATCTCAGGCAGGCAAGCATGCTCCAATCAGAATTAATGAGTCTCTGGCTGTTTTAGGGTATGTTTGTTTACAATTTACATCCGTGCCTGCCGCTCTCTGCTACGAGCTGGTTGCTCTGAGTCTCTGCCCCTTTCGGGCAGAGGGCGCCAAAGTCCAGTCCTTCCTCCCTTGTACTTCTGTTGCATATTAACCCTTTCAGGTCTTCTGGTTCGGGGAGAAGGTGGGTAGACATCCCCCCCCACCCGTTATCAAACGAAGATCCCTCCAAACGCTGCCACCCTCCTGGTTGCGTAGCAACACCCTCAATGTCATCTATCTCCTCCCCTCCCTCTGCCTGCAAGCTTTCCGAGTTCTGCTCTATCTGAGTCTGGGAACTCTCGATGGAGGAGGATTAAACTAACCCACTCCTGCTCTTTCTGCCTTTCCTCGTCTCCAGAGTCAGACTCTGGCTCCCTATGGAATGGCATTCCTTCGTCTCCAGAGTCAGCCTCTTCCCAGGCATTCGATTCTGCCGCGTCTCTTGACGCCTGAGAATGACTTGGAGGCACCCAGTTTTTTAAGACTCTGGCGAGATGGATGTAACTCGCAGGCAGAGGTCGGCTAAGGGTGACATTTCCATGGTCAGTGGGAAACCCTACTAGGTCCCCACCCCCACCCCCTCTGCTAATCGTGGCTTTGCCTTCACCCTCTAGCACCAGACTTGGAAAAATAAGAAACTGTCCTATATTGAACAAGACCATTGGTCCTTTTGGCTCAGCCTTTCCCAAAGTGGCCTCCCCCCCCCCACCCAGTGCTCCTGGTGGGAGTTATAGTTTCCAAAACATCTGGAGGGCACCAGGTTGGGGGAGCCTGGTCTGCTTTGACTGGCAATGGCTGTGCAGGGCTTCAAGATCTCCATTCAAGGTAGATGCTGTACCTTTGAGCTACAGATTCTTGGCTCTTGAGGTGCGGTAAGTGTCTAAAACAGGGTTCCCCAAACTTGGGTCTCCGGCTGCTTTTTCGGACTACAACTCCCATCATCCCTAGCTAGTAGGACCAGTAGTCAGGGATGGTGGGGATTGTAGTCCCCAAACGGCTGGAGACCCAGGTTTGGGAAACACTGGTCTAGAATAAACTCGGGGAAACAGTTATGGGAGCCAAAAACTGAACTGGCTTTGAAGTCAAAATGCCGTACGTTTGTGAAAATATCTCCTGGGTAGCCAACGAAATGTCACAGCTGAGAGCTAAGTAGAGCGTTGGGCTTAGAGCAATCAGTAAAAGGTAAAGGGACCCCTGACCATTAGGTCCAGTCATGACCAACTCTGGGGTTGCGGCACTCTTCTCGCTTTACTGGCCGAGGGAGCCGGCGTACAGCTTCCGGGTCATGTGGCCAGCATGACTAAGCCGCTTCTGGCGAACCAGAGCAGAGCACGGAAACACCGTTTACCTTCCCGCCAGAGTGATACCTATTTATCTACTTGCACTTTGACGTGCTTTCGAACTGCTAGGTTGGCAGGAGCAGGGCCCGAGAAATGGGAGCCCACCCCGTCGCAGGGATTCGAACCACCGACCTTCCGATTGGCAAGTCCTAGGCTCAGTGGTTTAACCCACAGCGCCACCTGGGTTCAAATTCTCACATAGCCATGGAAGCGTGTGACCTTAAGGCAGTCACTGTCTCCCATCCTGGCCTAACTCGCAGGGATATTGTGGGGAGGGAAACCCCTTTTGCAGTCATTTTGAGCTCCTTGTATCTCTGAGGATGTTAAACTGGTAGTCAGCCAATCTCTGGTTGGAATTTCAGGGGGTGAGGCAGCATAAAGGATGAGAAGAAAACCACCCAAACGAAACAAAAAAAAAGAGGATAATTGGATTTTATAACATGGCACGGCCAGCATGTTTTGCCTTGTCGCATTCTGCAGGGGGGAAAGGTGAGGTGACCGCAGGAACTATATTAAGAGCGCTGCATTAAAAGCCTTACATAAGGTTATTGCATTAACATTCTTAATTTAGTCCTCGGTGTCATCTTTGCCTGGAGAAGATGACTCACCGAAACACGATGGGCACGGAACCTCGTAAAACAACATTCCTGCACTCCTGGCATCATTTTGCATTTTTGCCTCCTATAGTTCTTTTGGCATCTGTCTTCATCTTGGCTGTACAAGGTACCATATTTTTTGCTCTATAAGACTCACTTTTCCCCTCCTAAAAAGGAAGGGGAAATGTGTGTGCGTCTTATGGAGCGAATGCAGGCTGCGCAGCTATCCCAGAAGCCAGAACAGCAAGAGGGATTGCTGCTTTCACTGCACAGCGATCCCTCTTGCTGTTCTGGCTTCTGAGATTCAGAATATTTTTTTTCTTGTTTTCCTCCTCCAAAAACTAGGTGCGTCTTGTGGTCTGGTGCGTCTTATAGAGCAAAAAATACGGGTAAGTCATCCGGACAAACCTTTCAGCCTCCACGCACCCCCCAACATAACACACAACACCCCAACATAGACACCTGCAATATGAGAACACTTACACTAACCAATAGGGAATTCTAAGGAATCTTTCCCCCTCCCCATTGAATTCTGTTGCCCCTCTTCTGCTATCTCTTGGGGCATCAAAACTGCCAGATGAATTGGGGATGGGGGTGTTTTTTTGACAGGGGTGTTGTTTTGCAATGACCCAAACCTCCTTTGTGCGTCATTGCCACATATTTCTTCAAGATTGTGTTGGTCAGAGGTTTGAGTCAATAATAATAATAATAATAATAGTAATAATAATAATAGTTTTATTATTTGTACCCCAGCCATCTGGCTGGGTTTCCCCAGCCACTCTGGGCGGCTCCCAACAGAATATTAAAAACACGATAAAACATCAAACATTAAAAACTTCCCTAAGCAGGGCTGCCTTCAGATGTCTTCTAAAAGTCAGGTTTCCTTGACATCAGATGGGAGGGCGTTCCACAGGGCGGGCGCCACCACCGAGAAGGCCCTCTGCCTGGTTCCCAGTAACCTCACTTCTCGCAGGGAGGGAACCGCCAGAAGGCCCTCGGAATTGGACCTCAGCGTCCGGACTGAACAATGGGGGTGGAGATGCTCTATATGGGCCGAGGCCGTTTAGGTCTTTCAACATCAGCACCAACACTTTGACTTGTGCTCGGAAACATACTGGGAGCCAGTGTAGGTCCTTCAAGACCGGTGTTACGTGGTCTCAGAGATCGCTCCCAGTCACCAGTCTAGCTGCCGCATTCTGGATTAGTTGTCGTTTCCGGATCACCTTCAAATATAGCCCCACGTAGAGTGCATTGCAGTAGTCCAAGCGGGAGATAACCAGAGCATGCACCACTCTGGCGAGACAGTCTGCGGGCAGGGAGGGTCTCATCCTGCGTACCAGATGGAACTGGTAGACAGCTGCCCTGCACACAGAACTGACCTGCACCTCCATGGACAGCTGTGAGTCCAAAATGACTCCCAGGCTGTGCACCTGGTCCTTCAGAGGCACAGTTACCCCATTCAGGATCAGGGAGTCCTCCACACCCACCCGTACCCCCAAAACAGTACTTCTGTCCCATCAGGATTGAACCTCATATTGCAGGTGTGTATGTTGGGGTGTTGTGTGTATGTTGGGGTGTGCATGGAGGCCGAAAGGTTTGCCTGGATGACTTAACAGCCAAGATGAAGACAGGGGAGAGGGCCCTTGAGATCGAATTCTGGTTTTCCCCCTGCCATCTGGCTGGCCGCTGTGAAAACAAGATGCTGGGTTACATGGACTCTTGGCCTGATCCAGTAGGCTCTTCTTCCTTGCCTATGCTCTACAGCCCTTTTCCCCAACTCCTTTTGCCATTGTATGGTGTCAGGGACTGGCTGGAAGATGAGGAACCCCTCTAGGGAAAAGCCTCAAAGGAGGAAGGCTCAGAGCCCAGGGAGTGGTGGTGGACACAGAGGACAAGTCAGAAGGGGAAGGAGGGGAGGAATGGTTGGTTTTCTGAAGAGGCAACAGGCTTTGGTGAGCAAGAAGAGCCAGTGAAGAAAGAAGTTCAGACGTAGCTGACGAAGTTCAGAGGCTGCAGAAGCATCCCAGGAGCTTGCCGTTCCTAGAAGTTCCTGTCCCCTCTTGTATCCGAGGCTACAGAGAGCTGTGTGTGTAGCAGAACAAAGAGCGCAGGTTCCCATCAGCAGCAGCGTAGTTTAATGATGAGTTTTGGGTATAATGGAGATATAAAAGATTTGGATTATTATAAAAGATGCAGGAAGGGATGATTAATAATAAGACCCACAAAGGGGAAGAGGGAAGTCCAGGAGATTCCTTGGAATCTTGCTTTTATGTTATATGTTGTATGTTTGTGATTGTAAAAAAAAATTATTTGAAAAACCATATATATATATATATATATATATATATATATATATATATATATTTGCTTTCGTAGATTATATATATATATATATACACACACACACACACACACACACACAGTGGACGCTTGGGTTGCGAACGTGATCCGTGCGGGAGGCACATTCGCAACCCGCAGCGTACGCAACCCGCAGCGCTGTGTCTGCGCATGCCCGGGTTGTGATTCGGCGCTTCTGCGCATGCTCGACCGCCGAAACCCGGAAGTAACCCGTTCCGGTACTTCCAGGTTTCGGCACGTCCGTAACCTGAAAAAACGCAACCTGAAGCGTCTGTAACCTGAGGTATGACTCTGTGTGTGTGTGTATGTGCAGATAGGCAGAGAGAGAGAGAGAGAGAGAGAGAGAGAGAGAGAGAGAGAGAGATAGCACAGGTTCCCACCACCAGAAGTGAAGTTTAAGGCTTCTTGGAGAACATCTGGCTGGGGAGAAGGAGACATGGGGAAATAGGAGGCAATGATCATCAGTCCTAGCAACTGTTTCATAGGGGCCAGTCCTGCAAAGGAGGTATTCCTGCCCTTGTAGGCTGTTTCCTTGAATAAAAAGTTAACTTTTCTGCTTGACCTTGCAGTCAAGTGCCTGCCTGTATCTGAACCAACCTTGACACACGGTGAAAAATGTCACATCAGGTGGGTGGGAATGGGGGAGAACTGCTTTACTAACACAGGAAGCCAAGGACCGCCTCAATCTCAGAAACAGAATCATCTCTTGAGTTGGTCTAAGGTGGCATTTCATAACCTGTGTGCTCTGCGGATGTTGCTACCATAGCTGTCAACTGTCCCTTATTTAGCGGGAAAGTCCCAAAACACTGTCCCGCTGCTGTCCCTTATTGATGATGTCCCTTAAATTTCCCGGGTTTCAAAGGAAGCAGCTCCTCTCCCTCCCTCCCTGCCGGCCAGGGAGGAGGGAGGCTCCAACTGTGTTGCTTGGCTGCGTTGCTCACCCAATAAGGAGTCTAAGAACGACTGGGGGGTGGAGCTTGCATGCCTTGTGCCGATCAAATTGGCTGTGTTGCCTGGGGACTCGCCTTTGCTCAGCGCTTCCCAGCGGAGAGGTGACGGTGGTTTTCCTTGCTGCATCCCCTTTGCTGGGTTGCTGCGCTGTGGGAACCACCGCTTGAGGCTTCGTTAGGCTGCTGGCTGGGCTTTCTGCCTTTGGCTCGGAGGGGCTCAGAAGTTGAACATACCTGTGTTTGGGAAATCCCTTATTTTGGCTGCTGATCCCTTATTTTTGAGGCTGCTGGTCCCTTATTTTCAAATCTGCAACTTGACAGCTATGGTTGCTACCCAGTGGGCAGTGCTGGCAGGGTGGGCTGGTGGGAGTTGTAGTCCAAACCAGGTTGGGGAAAGAACCATCTAAGGACTTGCATGAACCTCTCGCCTTGGATTCACAGGCTCAGATGCCATCATCCGCCAGCACAAGGCGGCTTGCTTGAGGATCACCGCCATCCTGGCCTGCAAGGACCTGCTGTGGATCGGCACCAGCGCTGGAGTGGTCCTGACTCTGCCCATGATGTCCAACGCCGCCTCCTTGAAGACCCCGCCATCGCCGGTGGGCCTCTCCCAGGGACACACAGGCCACGTCCGGTTCCTCACGTCCATCGAGCTGCCGGAAGGTTTCGACATCCTCTTTCCCCTGCCCAGGGATCCAGGTGGGTTCGAGTAAGACGAGGCAGAAGGTGCAGTCTGGGGTGAGATAACCATCGGGTTTTCCATTTGAGCAGGAAAGGTGTCCGTCAGGGATTCTCCAGCTGCGACATCTGCATTGCAGGAGGCTGCACTAGATAATCATGTGGTGGCGGCGGGAGGCCCCATTAGCTAAAGTGGTGCTTCAGGTTAAGAACAGTTTCAGGTTAAGAACGGACCTCCGGAATGAATTAAGTTCTTAACCCGAGGTACCACTGTACATCTATGCATAGGTAAAGGTACCCCTGCCCGTACGGGCCAGTCTTGCCAGACTCTAGGGTTGTGCGCTCATCTCTATAGGCCGCAGACACTTCCGGGTCACGTGGCCAGCGTGACAAGCTGCATCTGCCGAGCCAGCGCAGCACACAGAAACGCCGTTTACCTTCCCGCTATAAAGCGGTACCTATTTATCTCCCGTTGCTCGGTCCCAGCGCCTGCCAACCTAGCAGTTCGAAAGCACCCCCGGGTGCAAGTAGATAAATAGGGACCGCTTACTAGCGGGAAGGTAAACGGCGTTCCGTGTGCTGCGCTGGCTTGCCAGAGCAGCGATGTCACGCTGGCCACGTGACCCAGAAGTGTCTCCGGACAGCGCTGGCCCCCGGCCTCTTGAGTGAGATGGGCGCACAACCCTAGAGTCTGTCAAGACTGGCCTGTACGGGCAGGGGTACCTTTACCTTTTTTATTTATCTACTTGCACCCGGGGGTGCTTTCAAACTGCTAGGTTGGCAGGCGCTGGGACCGAATGATGGGAGCGCACCCCGCCGCAGGGAATCGAACCGCCGACCATGCGATCGGCAAGTCCTAGGCGCTAAGGTTTTACCCACAGCGCCACCCGCGTCCATACATGCTTACAAATCTACATAGGGTGCATACTTTGTCCTGGTCGCAGAATTTGGGTTATGCAGGTGCAGAAAGAAATATGACTCACTCTCCTCCCCGCTTCTAGGTACAGAAAAGTCCAACGACTTGGAGAAACGGGACTCCACGAGGCACAGGCCCCCCAAGTCCAAGATGCTCATCATTAGCGGCGGCGACGGGTACGAGGACTTCCGGCTCACCAGCAGCAGCGAGACAGTGGGGAGGGATGATAGCACAAACCACCTGCTCCTCTGGAGGGTCTGACAAGCGAGATGAGGAACAGGGCGGACCCCTCCGGAGGGGGAGAAGCCGAGAGAGAGAGAGAGATTGCGTCCCATCCTCGCCATCCCCACACGGACGCATCCCCGTGTCTCATCTCCCACCCTGAATGTCTTGTGCACAGGGTCGCCTTTCTGGATCCGCCGCGCGGAGTTAGCAGCGCGCCTCGGGCCGGGCCGCGTGCGGAACCTCCAGGACGCAAATCCATGTTGCACGACTCGCGCTTGCTGCTGTGTCTTGAGTGTGTGGGAGGGGGTGCGCTCAGTGAGAGAGAGGAGGAGAGATTAGGTGCAGCCACCCCCATGCGCCAAGCCCCATTCAAATGGGACTAAGAGAGAGAGAAACCATTTAGGAATTCAACCCTGCTTAGGAAAGGATTGTCTGCTCTGTGTGTGCTGCTTGGTTAGAAACGCCCAGCTCAGCCGAGGAGTTGTTGAATGTCGTCATGTCTGCCGTTTTCGTCCGCTGAGGCCCTCAAGTCCAGATGGCTGGGGCAACCTTCCCCCATTCTCACCAAACACAATCATTTTCCGCCCCCTCTTTGGTTTCTCCTCGCCTTCATCCATCAGATACAGATGCAGAGCTTCTCCACTCAATGGCACCCTTTCATTCATGCAAGAACCGCTCACCAGAACCAGACACTGCACACCATCGTCTTGCCAACTTTTGCGAGGCACACCACTGCCAGCATCCAGATAACTTGGGGGGGGGTCCTGTTTGTGTATAAATTACCTTTATTTATTGCCGGCTAGGAAGAGGAGCTGCTCCAGAAAGGAGGGGAATGGGGAGGCGGACTGACACTGTTTCCGAGCAATTTCCAAAGAGATTGGGATGGAGAGCGGTTTGGGGCCCTTGTCACGGTCAGAGACACCCCTGCGTCTGGGCTCAGTTGTGATAACCGCAGGGTTGTTCCCGCACATCAGTGTTCGAAGATGTAAGGCTTTGTCGGGTTGCAGTGTTGATGATGGCCGCTACCCAAGATGGCGGCTGGAGTTTGTGTCTGCTGAGAGGGAAGGGGAAAGAGGTTGGGCATGGAGAAAGCCCGTCTTTGATGGGGGGGAGGGGCAGCAGAGAAAATACAAGAATCTTGACAGGATAATTGTGCAATATTGAGCAGCTTTCCCCACCAACCCTGCACAGGCCAGGAGGCTGCACCACAGAGGCCTCGTCCGTTTCCAGGGCAACCGTACTCCATGTTGTCAGGGGATGGGTGGGCAGGAGTTTGCATCAACCTGGTCTTACCTTGTACAGTATTTATGATTTATTTGTTGTGGTTGTTTTTTTGTTTTTATTTTTTAAAAAAGAAAACCTAGCTACCGTTTGTAGAGGGAGGCAGCCAGTTGAACAGTTAGCAGCGCTTAATTTAATCGAGCTCATAATCTTCCGTTGTGAGGGGGTAAATTTGCCTCAGAGACCGAAAGGTCTCCACAGGCAGATTGAAAGCCGTCCTTAAAACCTTGAACAAAGTTAGATCCCCGCTAGCATTATTGTGAACATGGTTGAGGGCTGGGGAGAAAGCGGACTGCATTTCACCAGCTGACCATGGGACGTATTCTGGGGACACATCAGTCGCCGGGTTTCCTACAAAGATTCCTGAAGGAGGCAAAGCGTTGCTTGATCTGCAAGGGACCTCTCGGCTGCCCAGTCCTCTGCGTATTTACTCAGAGGTACGTCCCGCTGACTTTCAGTGGTGCTTACTCCCAGGTAAGTGTGTGTGAGATTGCAGCCTTCATGCTCTGCGGCGAGAGTTCTGCCTCGGGATCACATTAAACCCGCCTTTGCCAAACTTCGCCTGATTGGTCTGGTGCGAGTTGGAAGTCCGGAGGTTGTCGGGTTGACCAGAGGCACATGTTGCGTGCACAGTTGCATCGTCGATTTAAAAAGAATTGGGAGGACGCTGGCATTCCAATAACCAGATGAATAGGCCATGCATTATGGAAGCCAGACCCACCTCCCAAGGGCATTGCCAAGAGTGGGGGAAAGGTTAGGGGGGGCAAGATGTCAAACCGGTGTCCCCTCCTCTGAAGTGAAGGTGAAGCATCTCATGTCTCTACTCAATACCCCCAATTTCCCCTAAGACAGGAATACAGCTGATACCTCGAACCAAGAATAAGGTCTCCTTATAAACACATACATAGTGTTTCTTATGCACCGACACTGGATGCCGATGAAGACATTAAAGAAAAGAAGTGTTTTCAGCTGGATGCTATCCTATCAGAGACGCCTAAGGAGGATAAAATTATCCTTCTGGGTGATTTTAATGCAGGCCTAGGCAAACTCAGCTCTCCAGATGTTTTGGGACTACAATTCCCATCATCCCTGACCACTGGTCCTGTTAGCTAGGGATCATGGGAGTTGTAGTCCCAAACATCTGGAGGGTCGAGTTTGCCTATGCCTGTTTTAATGCAAGAGATGGGCGAGATGTCAATCTGTGGCCTGGAACTATTGGGAAAGAAGGAATTGGCAACAGCAACCACAACGGAATACTACTTTTGACTATCTGTGCAGCGCACAACCTTGTTATTGCCAATACACTCTTTCGACAAATTTAAAACATTATGGAGGCGCCCTTGGTCAAACCACTGGCACCTCTTAGACCATGTGGTCGTCTGAGCTGAAGATCACTGAGATGTGTGAACAGAGCTATAATGAGTGTCTATGACACATCACCGATTAATATGCTCCACGATGGCTATCAAGATTGTACCTCAATGCAGACTTCAGGAAGGGAAACTAAGGTGCAAAATGAACACTCAAGCCCTTCAAGATCCTATTAAGCGGGATTGCTTCCAAAGGACCGTCTGCTTTCAGAGTTCCCTGATAACATTGAGGAACACTAAAAAACATCCATTATTGCAGCCTGTGAACAAACTATTAAATACCAAACCAAGAAACACCAGGATTGGTTTGATGAGAATGACAGTGAGATTGAACGCATGATTGACAAGAAAAGGAAGGGCTTTCAGATCTGGCAAAGAGATAGAAACTGTGCCACTGAGGAAAAAACCTGTGCCAATGCGAAGGCTGAGGGTCAAAGAACAGAGAACCAAAGAACACCTGGTGGATAAAAAAAAAGCTCAAGAGATCCAGCACTTAGCTGACGCTCATGATGCACAAAGTTTCTTTAAAGCCATAAAGGCCAATAAATCATGGCATATGCCCTCTATGCTCAACAGATGGTACCACACTTCGCAGGAAAGAACATTACCAGCATCTCCTTAACTGCAACTCCCCTGTAGCTGCTGAGGTCCCCTCAGAAATTCCGCAAAAACAAATTAAGAGATGTCAGGAGTGCTCTGATGGTGTTTCCTGCTTGGCAGGGGGTTGGACTCGATGGCCCTTGTGGTCTATTCCAACTCTATGATTCTATGACCTTGCAGTATCTCCAAAATGGGAGAGTTGTGTACGGCTGTTAACCAAAAGAAAAACAACAAAGCCAGCAGACCTGATGGGATACCTGCTGAAGTCTTCAAAGTGGGTGGAATTGAACTTCACAAGCTCATCAAAAAAAATCTGGGGGAGAGAGGAGATCCCAGCAGACTTTAGGGGTGTCAAAATTATCAGTCTGAGGCTACCCTTCCTGAATCCCAAAATGGTTTTAGACCTTCCAGGGGGACAGTAGACATGATTTTCTCTGCTCGGCAGCATCAAGAAAAATGCAGAGAGCACCAACTTCTGTATATGGCGTTTATTGACCTGACTAAGGCTTTCAACACTGTAAATCGTAACGCCCTGTGGACTGTCCTTCTGAAAATTAGCTGCCCAGATAAATTTGTAAACATTCTGCTCCTCCATGATAATATGACAGCAACAATCGCAGATAACAATGGCTCTCAAAATGAACCATTCACAGTGGGATCAGGTGTTAAACAGGGTTCTGTTATCGCCCCAACTCAATTTATTATTTTCATTGCCATGATCCTACACTTTGTCAAAGGAATACTCCCCACCGGAGTAGAAATCATATATTATACAGATGGAAAGCTCTTTAATCTGAGAGCCAGTGTGGTGTAGTGGTTAAGAGCGGTAGATTTGTTATCTGGGGAACCGGGTTCGTGTCTCCGCTCCTCCACATGCAGCTGCTGGGTGACCTTGGGCCAGTTACACTTCTTTGAAGTCTCTCAGCCCCACTCACCTCACAGAGTGTTTGTTGTGGGGGAGGAAGGGAAAGGAGAATGTTAGCCGCTTTGAGACTCCTTAATGGGAGTGAAAGGCAGGATATCAAATCCAAACTCTTCTTCTTCTAGGCTGAAAGCAAAGAGTAAGGTTACTGTAACTTCCGTCATACAGTTTCAGTATGCTGATGACAGCGTAGTGTATGCACACTCAGAGGGTGACCTCCAAACCATCCTAAATATCTTCACAGAATCTTATGAAAAGCTTGGTCTGTTGCTCAACATCCAAAAAACCAAAGTGCTGCACCAGCAAGCACAAAACAACATTTCTTCTGCCCCAGAAATCCAACTCAATGGTGTAACTTAGGGAAATGTTGATCACTTCCCTTACCTGGGCAGTTATCTTTCCACAAGGGCCAACATTGATGCTGGGATCCAGCACTGCCTGAGCTCTGCGAGTGCAGCTTTCTCCTGATTGAAGTGCAGAGTGTTTGAGGACCGGGACATTCGCAGGGTAACCAAAATGCTTCTTTACAAAGCAATTGTACTACCAAACTTACTATATGCCTGTGAAACATGGACCACTTATAAACACCAGCTCCAACTCCTCGAAAGATTCCATCAACTGTGTCTCCGAAAAATGTTACACATCACTTGGGAAGACAGGCGATCTAATACCAGTGTACTGAAAGAAGCAAAGGTCACCAGTGTAAGCAATGATTTTTCAACATCAATTTCATTGGACTGGTCATGTTGTGCGGATGCCTGATGATAGTCTTCCAAAGCAACTACTCTATTCCAAACTTAAAAATGGAAAGTGTAATGCTGGTGGTCAACAAAAGAGGTTTAAAGACTGTCTCAAGGCAAATCTTTAAAAATGTAGTATATACACCAACGATTGGGAAACACTGGCCTGCGAGCGCTCCAGTTGGAGAACAGCCTTTCCCAAAGGTGTCATGGGCTTTGAAGACGCTCAAACTCAGGACGCAAGGGAGAAACGTGCTAAGAGGAAGGCATGCTTGGCAAATCCACACCGTGATCAACTCCCACCCGGAAACCTATGTCCCCACTGTGGAAGGACATGTGGATCCAGAATTGGCCTCCACAGTCACGGACTCACTGTTAAGATCGCGTTCATGGAAGACAAGCTTACTCAGGTGCGAGCGATTGCCAAAGAAGAAGAAAATATTTGTTTAGATTGAAGAGTTTTAGATTAGGTCTTAGAGGTAGAAAATTTCACCCAGACCTCATATCTGATGAATTAGGTACAAAAATTAAAATTCCTCCATCTTACCCCTCCACTTTATAAAAAGACCAAAGGCAACTTACATCATAAAACTGAGTTTCATAATCCACATTTCAGACCAGAACTCAGATTTTGAAGCCAAATGGTAAAGGTTTGACACTCAGCTTTGCAATAATAATAATAATAATAATAATAATAATAATAATATATGTACCCCGCCCATCTGGCTTGGTTGCCCCAGCTACTCTGGGCAGCTTCCAACAAAATATAAAAACAGTAAGTCATACATCAAGCATTAAAAACTTCCCCATCCAGGGCTGCCTCTAAGAGTCTTCTAAAAGTCAGATAGTTGCTTATTTCCTTGACGTGTGATGGGAGGGCGTTCCACAGGGACGGTGCCACCACCGAGAAGGCCCTCTGCCTGGTTCACTTCTCATGGCTCAATTCCCCCTAGGAGGTTTTGGAATCCATAGGCTGGACTGGCGCACTTAGAAAATTGAGTTTTTGATTCAGAGCCACTCAGCCTGGATTTGATGTGTATTTCTTTCCGTGCTGTTTGTCTCCATTGGATCACATGATGAGCGCCGAGGCCTCTTACAGAAATGAGTCACGAGGAGCAAGCTTTAATCTGCATACCCTGGCAGAATGCAATACACAATGCACATAATCTGATGTCTTCTTATTCAGAAGCTGTTTCCATGAAATAGGGAAAACGCTCTTTTAAACCTGCATCTATTCTCAGTACTTTAATTTTGCAATCCCCGTTTCCATACCTTTCTTTGAAACCAGGAGGGATGGGAACTGTGTTTTTGGAACAGGGATTCTTCTCAGGTCACGGAGGGGCCTGACCCTGAACAGTTGTTTGCATTCCAGAAATAGAATTTAGGAGGTCACAGACTGCGTGTCTTCATCATGACCTTGCCATCGACAAAATGGAACACAAAGATATAAAATCCTTCCTTAAATTGGTGTATACCTGTGAAAATTAAGCAGTCCCGATTCAATCTTGCCACTTGCATGAGCTCACCAGTTTGCCTTAGACAGCCATTCCGTCTTCAGATTGAGGGTCAACAAACTGACCAGCCTTACAGGGTTGTTGTAATGATTACAGAAGATGGGGTATGTGGAACGCTTGAAATACTCCATGGGCTAAGGTCAAATCATACTGTGTGAGTGCAATGGAGGAAGGGGAGATTTTTGCCTGTTGCTCAGTCTTCGCGTTAGAATGTTAAGCATTTTGCGCTTGGAGACTCTGCAGATTGCCCAGGCGGTATGCAAAATGAACGCGGAAGCTTTGCAGATCCCCTAGGTGATGTACAAAACATCTCCGATCCGTTCGTTCACGTTCTCCATCTTCCGCTGAGCCAAATTGACTGTGCAAAATGCAAAATCCCCCGTGGACCCGGTTAGCGTTACGAACGTTCCCTGTGTGTCCACACAAGTCCCCTAGGTTTGTGCTTGTTCACAAGCCAACTCGCGTTCGCCCCAGCAGGTGCACAAGTGTGTGGGTTTTAGGGGTCCCTCCTAAAGGTTAGGGGTCCCTCCTAACCTGTCTTACTGAGGCCAGGCTGAGAATCTCCCAAGTGTGGAAAGCAGCGCAGGCGTAGGCAAAGTGATTCTCTGCAGGTATTGTTGGACTACAACTCCAAGCAGCAAGGCCAAAGTTGAGGGATGGCAGGAATTGTAGTCTGGCAACCTTCTATGGGCTAGCTGTGGTGCAGGATCACAGGTTGTTGTTGTTTAGTTGTTTAGTCGTGTCCGACTCTTCGTGGCCCCCTGGACCAGAGCACGCCAGGCACTCCTGTCTTCCACTGCCTCCCGCAGTTTGGTCAGACTCATGTTCGTAGCTTCGAGAACACTGTCCAACCATCTCGTCCTCTTTCGTCCCCTTCTCCTTGTGCCCTCCATCTTTCCCAACATCAGGGTCTTTTCCAGGGAGTCTTCTCTTCTCAGGAGGTGGCCAAAGTATTGGAGCCTCAGCTTCAGGATCTGTCCTTCCAGTGAGCACTCAGGGCTGATTTCCTTCAGAATGGAGAGGTTTGATCTTCTTGCAGTCCATGGGGCTCTCAAGAGTCTCCTCCAGCACCAGAATTCAAAAGCATCCATTCTTCGAAGATCAGCCTTCTTTACCACAGACAAAAGTAGACATCTGTTATTAGTGGATGTTCTCGGTTACCGTAGGCATGCAACCTCTTGGCTGTTGCAAAACTAAGGACTTTTGTGTTTGACTAGTGACTGCCATGTAAGCCCGTCACAAAGGACTGGAAGGAAGAACCTCATAACTGATGGGTGGGACCTAACTTTAAAAGGATCGGACAAATTCATGGAGCAGAGGGCTTTCAATGGTTTCTGGCCACAGTGGCCACACTCTGCTGCCACAGTGGGAGGCATCAATGCTTCTGTTGCTGGAAACCACAGGAGGGGAGAGTTGCTCTTGTGTTCGAATCCTGATTGCATGTTTCCCACAGGCATCACGTTGGTCCCTGTGGTCTGATCCAGCCCCCTCTTCTTCAGCTTTTAACTTGCGGCCTGATCGTGTGTGCATGTTTACACCAAAGCTGCCCCACCACATTCAACGGGGCTAGGTAAGTCGGCTCTCTGACATCTGGGAAACCCTGCTATAGACCCCTGGTCATTATGGGATGGATGATTCAGCATCAGAAACAAACGATAAGCAAGTCCCGTCCCCCCCAAATCATAGCAGTCAACATTTCCCTTTTTTTAAGGGAAATTCCCTTATTCCGAATAGGATTCCTCACAATAAAAGGGAAAAGTTGACAGCTATGCCCCAAATACCCAAAGTTAGTTTGGCAGCACTAGTTCGCTTTCTATGCAAGAAACAGATACGACACTCACCCCCTAGGTTTCCTGACACAAACGAAGTTTACTTCCTGCATTCTCAAAAGAGCTGTGATGCTCACGGATCTCCCTTGGTCTTGTTTCGAGATTCGAACACTCAAAGGGGTGGAATTGTTTATAGCCCTATGGTAGGCTTCTTCAGCATGGCTCCTCTCCCAGGTCATAACTGTCAGCAGCTGATGTTTCCAAGACATCTAGAGGGCAGCGTGGTGGGGAAGGCTTCTCTGTGGCTTGGAAGGGAAGATATTCCCTATCTTCTCCAAAAGGAATGTGCATTCCTGGACCTCTGGCATCGATAAGTTTTGAGGGGTGCTCCTGATGCACTGTTTTGTTGACGAACACCACGAAACCTGCGTCAGACGTAACCTGTTATGTGTATCCAAAATGGCACCGGAAATGCTTTTGGGGCTAAGGATACACAATAGAGAAGCTTTGCTTACGGTGTTAATGCATGCTCCGTTTATCCCGCTCTCGCCTCCGGTCAAATAGGTTGTGCAGGTTTCTGAAGCACCGCAGCACAAA